GCCCCCTCTTTGGAGGTGAATGTGGCAGCTTTGAGACACCACCCAGAAGCAGGCGCCACAGACACTAACTGCAGATTCATGGGATGGCTTTCACATATCTTGTACATGCATAAGATGATAGATCTGCAGGAGCGGGGGCAGTGGTGTAGCGAGGGGGCCGGAGGGGTCAGTTGTCCCTAGGCACCATGTTAAGGAGGCACCAATTTAATCCCATTCTGCTCCTCCCATCCCTTCAGCTCACGTGCTCCTATTCTGCCTGCTGGAGCCTCTTCCCTGCCTCTTTGCTCCAAGCCCAACCCTCCTCCATTTCCAGTGGCGGGTTAGTGCATGCGAGAGCCCGGCCCCAAACTGTAGGGGGTGGGGGAAGATGCGGTACAAGTTCCCCTCAGCTGTGCATCAGGTTTGGGGCTGTGCCACATGGCGGTGGGAGGGGGGGTGCAAATTTTTCCTTTGCCCCCGGGCACATAACATCCTCGCTATGCCTCTGTGGACATAGGATTTGAAAAATAGTCTGGAACTAATAGCTAAAGTTTGCTGTTTAATAAACAAGAGGATCAAATATGTGATGAATATGAGCTTGAGATGGGTAAATACCTTCCTGTCTGGACCAGATGGAATCTTTCAATTCAACATAGTAAGTAGTCCTAATTAAAAGCTTTCTGCTATGAAGAACAACTTTCTGAACTCCCTTAGAATAACAAACATCTGACTCAGATTTGGGAAGGGGTTCCTTCACAAATGTGGATATACCTGGTACCCAGGCTGAATGGGAAGATTCCAATGGGCAAAACATAGACTCCATGAGCAGCTTCTTGTAACTAGCTACCCTTTCTTTCATTGGGCAAGGTTTCAACCCCCTACAAATGTAACACTTTTCACTCGTGCTCCTCCCCCAGACATATAAGGCAGTTGGGACGCTAGTCATTCACTAGCTTAGTCTTGTTACATGAGTCATAGAACTTGAAGTCAGGAGAACAAGGCATAATTCTGTTACTGATACCAGCACTCAAATGAGAACCAGCAAATACTAAATTTACTCATATTTAAAGCATGTACAAAACCTCTAAAGTAGCCTAAAACTAACAAAACGTTATCATCATCTCTCTCTATATACAGAAAAATGTTTCCTGGGAGGTGACAGAGTGACATCAGCACGTCCGTCACATCACCCCACCCCCGGCTCCAGGACATGATCTTTGCCCTCTCCTGGGGCTTAGTTGCTCTGGCTCTGCTGGCTCCACAGGGGCAGCAGCCTTAGCAGCGGTTACGCTCTCCTCCCCAGCAGCAAGCCCGGGACTATCTGCAGGGCAACAAAGCAAGCCCGGGGCTCGACCCAGAGGCTGCTGGGGTTGGGGAGGGTTAGGCCTCAGGGAGGGGAAAAACTATTGTGGAGGAGGGGTGGAAGAGCCAGGGTTTGTGCAGGGAGAAGGGCTGGGGATGGCACAGCTGGGGCCATAAGTGGGGAAGAGCTGGGGCTGTCGCAGACTCAGCCTGGCCTTCCCTGGTGTCTGGGAGCAGAGCTGGGGTTTCCTATCCCCATGAGAGAGGGAGGTTGGCAAGAACAGTGAGCCGGGGGCACAGCCCTAGTTTACACTAAAGAACATAAGATTTGCAAACACAAAGATAGCAGCTTCAGCAACCATTGTAGGTGGTAGAGGCTATGATGATTCTACCTTATATTCCTGTGTGAATCAGCATGAAGCAGCACTGGGTCCTCATACTACCTGGATAGGTATTGCTGAGAGAAAAATCTCTGACAACTGTGCACAAGGTGCACACACATGTACAGTAGAATGAGCATATCCAATTACTCAAAGAAATTATGCTTATTACTTCTTCAGCTCCAACCTCTGAACTGTAATTTACAATGAAAGGTTCTACTGTAATAAGGCCTGTGTCCCTTATAGAAATATTCTACATAAGGTTGAGCTTTCTGCAGAAATCTTGCTTTATATTTACATAAATATAAATCAACGGAAAATCGTCTTCTTTCCTATTAGCACCTCTGCAGGAGACAAATAAAAACATCTCTTCTTTGTATCTACTCACTGACTCAATTAAACTGGAGGGAAAAATCATGCCAGAAAAATTGTCTGCTGCTTGAGAAAAATACATTAAGTGAAACCACAAGTGTGCAGAAGTGGGTTTCCATGCAACTGATATAACTTGTACAAAGAGCAAATCTTGTTGTCTTTAAAATTTAATTTTGCAGTCTTTACTCAGACAAAACATTGCCTTGATTCAACAAGTTTTGTCTGAATAATGGCTGCTCAGAATATTGAATTGAGCACAAGGAACCCTTGCAGGATACTGTATATTACATTCAATGGTTTCAGTGGACGTCACCAGAGAATGTCACCCAACACCCACAGCAGCCTCAGAAGGGGGAAGGCATTGTCAAGGCTAGACAGGGGGTAATAGCCATAGGTAATGCCATAGTCAAGGAGCAGAAAGGGGCCGGGGGAAGTGTGGCTCCTTTAAGAACTATAATTCCCCTCCCCTCACCCAGGGTGCATCTAGACTACAGGGTTGTTTTTTTCCAGAAAAAATGTCTGTTTTTCTGAAAAAGCTTCACCTATGTCCACACTGCAATCATGTTCTTTCGAAAGAAAATTGAAAGAATGCAGGGTTTTTTCTGACATTGGTAAACCTCATACTATGAGGAAGA